TCTCCCCTGTCTTCGCCCTGAATGCCACCCAGACTCTGCAGACCTAAAGCAGTTAGTGAGGTCAACTTAGGGAAGAGCTTTTAGCTGGCTTCAATCTAGAGTTGGCTTCCCATGCTCCTCATACCTTACATAAGAAATTCCTTTAGCTCCGCCTTCCACGTCTTGTTAACTGCTTAGAGTTTTCCTATATGTGCCTAAGGAAACTTAAAAAATTTGGGGGGGGGGTGTTACATTTAATTTTACTTGCCATGCCTCCAGGAGGGTTTCCCTGCTTGTGCATCAGCTTCCTAAGGCTGGCGTAAGAACACACACTTACACTGTGTGTGTAAGAAGATGAGAGGGACTTGCTAGCCAGCAGTTCTGGAGTCCACAGAGCAGCTATAGCTCTGGAGACCTCAACAGAAATCTCTGGGAAAGAGCCCTCGGTTGCCTCTTCCAGCATTGGCTGCTTTCCAAGCCCCCAGGTGGTCTTTTGTCTTCTCGTTGTACCACTCTGGTGCCCATTCTTATGTGTCTGTATTCTATCTTTCTCATCTTTTCAGGGCGCTCTCCTCCTGTATTTCCTCCTCATCCTCCTTCTAAAGACATGAATTATGCGTGACAAGCTTTACCCTAATCCTCATCATAACTTAGCCAATTATGTCTATAAAGCCTCTTACTCCAAATAAGGCTCTTTGTCAGGTGGTGGGAATTAGGACTTCAGTGTGTGTGTGTGTGTGTGTGTGTGTGTGTGTGTGTGTGTATGCACATGCATAAGCTAAAATCCAGTCTTTTAAAACTGATGCCGTCACTTGGGTGAATGTCCTGTGGCTTGAGTGTGTCTTCAGAAGTTCGTATGTTGGACACGTAATTCTGAAATTCGTGTGAATGGTTTTTGGAAGTGTGACCTCTGGGAGGAAATTGGCTTTAGAAAAGGTCATGATAGTAGTAGTGGCTTCACGAGAAGAGAGCCCCTGGCTCATTGGCTTGCTCTGTCTCACAGTGGATGGCTTCCACCATGTTCTGATGCCGCCAGCCTACCTGATGCTGAGCAGACGTTACTGCTGTTCTCTTTGACTCTCCAGCAGAGCCATCAAAACGATTTCTAGTGTTGACAGGCTTCCCAGTCCTGGGTGCTCTGCTGTAGTAACTGAAACTAAACTAAGACAGTTGCCTTCCATGTTTTTTTTTTTTCTTTTCCCCTAAGTCAACACACCCTATTAACAGACACAGGTAGCGATGTCCTCAGAATACAGCTGGCCATTCCTGACTACTTCTTCTGTAACTCCCTGACATGGCCTCTTTCATCATTACCGAACCATTATTTCCTCCTCTAATGAGTATCCTGGTTCCGTTCTTAGTCTGCTGAAGTCCACCTGCTAGGGAACAGCTGGAGTGATCATTTCACAATTTGCTTCTCACCATTGCTCCCTGGCTTAAAGCTCCACAGCAGTTTCCCACTGTTAACCAACAGGAGGCCAGAAGACTGCAGGTTTAGGCCCCTCCCCTCTCTGCTTCTGTCTGCGCCACTGAGTCTGTTCCCTCTGTCCCCAACAGTTGACAAGTTTGTTTGCACCTCAGGCCTTTGCACTTTCCTCAGGGATGGTGACTTCTCATTGCTTGGCCATTTCCACAGAGATCTACTTCTTGGCTGCAGTTAGTCAAATGATTTCCTGAGGGTTTGGAGGGCAAGGCCCAGGGAGGACACAGATGTTCCTCAGAAAGGTTTGCTGAAGGAATAAAATCACAAGGTAGCCAGGCGGTGGCAGTGCACATCTTTAATCCAGCCACTTGGGAGGGAGAAGGAGAGGCAGGAGGATCTCTGTGAGTTCCAGGCTAGCCTGGTCTACAGAGCTAGTTCCAGGATAGGCTCCAAAACTACAGAGAAACCCTGTCTTGAAAAGACAAAAAGAAAGAAAAGAGAAGAGAAACCACAAGGTATGCTCCATAGAGTTATTCATGCTGGTTGTACAAGATAAAGAGACTTCCTTGTTCGAATATTAACTTACGGAATATTTCTAAGGCTAAAGTTCCATATTTAAGTAGATTTTCTCAGACTGGTCGTTTGATTCTGAGGGATGCATCGTGGTGTTTCTACACTTATCTGAATGAGGAAGGGACATGCAGGGAAGTGCTGGTACAGGGGCTGTGGGGTGGCTTTGTCATCTAATGAGGACTGCCTCCTGAAGGGAAGTAAAGTGTCATTCCCTTACCCATCACAAGGTTGGCAGCTGGGACTCTGACAACAAAGAAAAGAAAAACTAAAAAAAGAGAAAAGCACAATGTGTTTATTTAATGTAAGTTCAAAGTGATCCAGAAGCCTTCAGAAAGCAAAGACCCAGGGAAAGCACGGACAGATGGAAGGACTGGACCACCGGGAGTGGGTCTATGGCAGCAAATGGGCCAGCAGGCCCAGGGTCTCACTAGCATACCCTTTCCTTCTGGGAAAGGCCAGAGCCCCTCTGGAGAGAGGGTCTTAGAGTCACCTTCAGAGAGGGAGAGACAGGCTATGCATTCCCGGCCAGGTCCTTAGAGGGGGAGAGTGTCATATTTGGTGGTGTCCTGTTCTCAACTCTAATCCCTGAATCCTTTGTACTGTTATGTATGCTTTGTGTGAATCCAGGAAAGAATTCACTGAGAATCAGTTTGTTTACTATGAAACAGGACCATCGATTAAACCACCCACCTAATAAGGGTTAGAAAGAAAGACTATAAAGCAATTAGCACAGTGCTTTGTGTGTGAGGAGTGGTTAGGATTTGCCAGCACCAGTGTCAAGGCATGATGATGCCTTTGATCACGAACACGATCTCTTTCAAAACACTTACAAATGCTGGAGGAAGGCTTACTTTATTTCCCAGCCTTCCCTGACCTCCCTCCTTTCCCCGAGGAGGGCCGTGAGGGCCCAAGACAAAGCTCCGTGGTCCAACCTGTGATTGTATTTTCTCCTCTCCTGACCCTGCTCATTCTTTACCCGCCACACAATTCTAGTTTGTGTCCCACTCTTGCAAGTACAAGGTGTTGGTGGCAGAGATAGTGACAGCTAAATTCATCAGAGAGATGAGATTCCGGGTCTGGTGTCAGAAGTGAAGCCTGGGGGAATGAGATAGGCATGCCAGGCCACTCCAGCCAAAGCCTTCCTTCACCTTAGGGGTGTGTCCTGATTCAACTATCAATTCTAAAAATTGAAATGATATCTTAAAGACATGAACAATGGAGATCTGAAAATAATTTTTGTTTAAATCATTTGCTTGCATGGAAATCCTTTAGCAAAATGGCTACATTTAGGATTTGGGCTGCTATTTAATTCAAGGTTATACAATGACCCTTTATTATTAAATTCTCATGTTTCGTTTATGCCCACAGAGCCCTGCAAGGTGCCCGACTCTTTTCTACACAGCAGAACCACTTGCTCCGTCCTTGTGCTCCTTTAAATTGCAATTTTCACAGAAGTGTCTGTTACTGACTTTTTATTTTTATTTTTCAAAATATTATCACTTTGGGAATCTAAACTGCAGTTAAATATGTTAAGGAATCCAAATGCCTATTTTTTTTTAATCATGGAAATAATGTTTATCACATGAGACCTGTTCCTTTGGCTGGAGCAGTCATAGTGTACAATAGAGAAGTGAGAAGGAGTAAAGGCCTGAATGACGTGTGTGTGTGTGTGTGTGTGTGTGTGCGCGCGCGCAACTGCCTTTGTTCTTATTCTAAGATTTTGCAACTGTTCCTCACTAGTAAACATTTTCAGGTGGCCTTTTTGGGTTCTTTTTCCTGAAGCTTCTTGACTGAGCACACCACTCTGGCTCTCAGGCACAGGGGGCAACTGAGCAGAACTTTCCTTATGTCTCTTCTGCTGGCCACTTCGGTGGGGATTGGAGTGGGAGCTATTAGGCAGTATCATCCACTTCACCCCTTGGATAAGGATGCACAGAAAACTCCATAGCAATAGACTCTGGAGGAAGAGAGACCTGGTTTGTGGTATTGCCGATTTCTCGAGTGTAAATACAGCTGACATGGCTGATATCAAATTCTCCACAGCTGTGGAACACAGTTGGCAAAAGGTGCATGGATGGAGAGTTTTCCATAGACTGCCCACCAGACAGATATTTTAAAAAAAGAAAGAAAGAAAGAAAAACCATGACTTGAAACTGTTGTAGTAAAATAACCAGGAAGTGATAAGTTTTGGGGGTTAATTTTAACTTTAAGATATAACTCATTCCATGATAAGCTTTTGTAGTTTGAGTATTAAAAACAGTATCTGTGTTAAAGAACTGTCTCTCGGGGCTCCTGCAGATGTAACTGACAAGTGTCCTGGTTGTAGTCTGCCACCCCGAGGGGGACACAAGGAAGCTGCTATCTTATCAAGGCTCATGAGTTATGGTGCAGACCTTGCCCAGAACACTGACCCCATGTTCCATATACCATTTGTTTGTTTGTGTATTGCTCAACAATCTATGAGTGGGACAGCAAAAGACGATTGTCTATTGAGACTAGAGTCAGAATATGCATGGTCCAAGATGGGGCCAGTAGAAACCAGGTAGATTTGGAATCATAAATGAATCCTGGCTTTGAGTCTTGACTCCACTACTCATCCATTATGGGATCCTCCTGATGAAGTCCGTTCTTTATATCAGGTTTGGGTTTTCTGCCTTGTTAGATGCCTAACTTAGATCATGTGCACATCTAATGTCTTCTGAAGATAGACTACCTTGAGGCCCTTTAGATCCATCAGTCTCATGCACGTTGGTCTAGTGGCTCCTGCATACATATTTGTTATAGACCCTAAGCAGAACCAGACACAACTATTAATATTAATATTGATATTAATATTAATAATAAATGACAACAGCATCTCACTTCTACCCAGTTCCTTCTAAGATACCAAGGCAAACCCCACTTTGAGCCTCTGAAGTTCTGTGACTTTAGATCAGGATACGTTTTATAGAATGTTGGAGAAAAAAGAACAAACAGAACCCTATTCCTAGGAAACGCAAGAGGTCATAACCAGGTAGTAATGAGGAATAAGCAACAAGCCCCCTGGTTTTTGTTATGTCTATTCGCTGCTTAATTTTGTCTGAAGGAAAATCAAACTATCAGAAAAACTTCTCTTTTGTATTTATAATATTGATTATTGTAGAAAACTTAGACATTAATAGAAAGTGTAAAATAAGGAGAAATACCTCTATCTAGTCTCGTGGTCTACTTCCTTTACCTAATACTTTGTCATATTTCCTAAGTGTTCTCTGTAGTCATTTCAGTTTTGGTTGTATCAGCTTTTTGGAGTGGTAACTTACTTATCTGGAGTGTTATTGTAGATGTTGTGTGTTGCTTTCTTATCCTAAAGAGCACTGGGGTAAAGAACTTTGTTTATAGAAATATCGGATAACACTTGGACTCTAACAATAATACTTACTGGCTTTAACAAACACGTACTTTGGAGCTGCCTTGATTTGATTCTCCTACCATGGCCGGAATTCACCTTGAGTTTGTTTTTAACCACTAAGAGGCCTGTCTTGCCTGAACCCTTTCCTAAGATGTGTTTAGGCTGGAGCTTGCATTCAGTAGGCTTGATGAAACGTGGTGTGGCTAGCAGTTTCTTCCTTTTCTTTTCTTAGGTTCTGTGAGTCACAGCTTTTGTCTAGTGTAGGTTTATTCATTCAGAGAGTACTCAGTGTTTAGTAAATGAGGGATTTAGTCCGACACAGGATCAGCAGTCGCATCGGAGAAGGTTGGTTTTCTTCTCTTCCGTTCCTCCATTCATGTTAATGCTTTCCATTTCCCTGAGGAGAGATGGCAGCTGAGCAGTTGTGGAATGCTGACTGTTAAGTGAGAGCTGTGAAATGAGGGATGTTGTTGCCTTAATTCCCTGACGTGGAAAACCATGACTCCAGCAGTCATTTGATTAAATGTTAATGAGCTCTACTAAATTGAACTAACCCTTACTTTTGTGTACTAAATTTATGTCAATTAAAACAAGCCCCCTTGCACCTACTTTTTAATTTTTTGTTGTTGTTGTTTTTTTACATCGTTGTGTGAAGTTCTGCTTTCTGGGGCAACGCTGTGACTACAACGGTTGTTTAAATATTAATGGTGCCATTAAGCAGGCTGGAGGCTTGGTGCTGGAAGCCAGGGAAACCAGACAACAGGGTGTTTTTTTTTTTTTTTTTTTTTTTTTTTTTTGCCTGCCCCAGAAGACCATCTTCCTGGAAGAGCTTTTTCTGTTATTACTAATTTTTTTTCACACACTATGCTTCTGTTTTCAGAATCAATAGAACTGTTGATTTCAGGCATTCTTTGAAAGTAGCTATGTGATTAAAGCCTTGGTGTAACAAATTTACATAATTAAAAACAACATCTTAACAGTGCCATAGTGGCCATTACCCTTGGGTCTCTTGAGAACTTAATTTCAATTTCTGAATTCATTTGGTTCTTTATTATAGTCAATAATAGGCAAAATCATTTTGAGCTCTGTACTATACTTGGACAGGCTTATTTACATTAGGCATAGAGAATTCTATTAAGTTAACCCTGAGAGATATGACAAGGGTCATATATTCAATCAAATTATGATTATAAACCCTTACCTCAGCGGGGAAATGTTGCTGAAAAGCCTGTAAAATTTGTCACAACCCAGTATTTTGTATTATGCTAAATTGGTTTGTGTTAAACATGTGGTAAATAGGTTTGTACACATTTTGTATTTTTAAAGTGTTCTAATGGTTTGACATTTTGAAGCACTGAAAATCTGAAGCAGACGTGGTATTTGCATAATTGTACATTTCCTTTTATAATCAGAAACCTGAGAGAATGGGGGATTTAGTCACTGTGCAACATTTTGTTTAGAATTTTGCTGCTGGGGTTAGGATTCAGGGACAGAGCACTTTTCTAGCAGGTGCTATCATGTGCATGGGTTCCACTGATGAATTTAATGTATGCCCTGGCAAGACTGAAGCATGCATGGACAGCCTGTATTTGGCGGTTCTGTTGAACTTGTCCATATATTGGATTTCATGGTCTAAGCTGATGAGGATCACTGACCAGGTCTCTTCCTCAAGATCTCATTACAATTGGTTATGAGCCACCATGTGGTTGCTGGGAATTGAACTCAGGACCTTTGGAAGAGCCGGCAGAGTTCTTACCCACTGAACCATCTCTCCTGCCCTCTGGATTCCAGACTCAGCTCTAAAACAAAACCACCCAGATCAGAATTTAGAGCTAAGGCTGTCCATCATGCTTAAGTGTCAGTGGGTTGGAGCCAGGTGCCGGCAGGTGCAGTGCTGCAATACACTAGGCAGGGCTGGGGTGAAGGCATGACAAGAGAGGCATCTGTAGCAAAAGGAACAGTGGGCTGTGTTCCCACCAGGATCCTGGCTCCCCGGCTGGTTTACACCCGAAATAATTACACGGAAACCGTATTCTTTTAAACACTGCCTGGCCTGTTATCTTCAGCCTCTTATTGGCTAACTCTCACATCATGACTAACCCATATCTAATAATATGTATGCCACCATGAGGTCGTGGCTTACCGGGAAGATTCTAACCCATGTCCATCTTGGGCAGGAGAAGCATGGCATCTGCCTGACTCTGCTTATTTCTCCCAGCATCCTGTTCTGTTTACTTCGCCTATCTAAGCTGCTGTCCTATCAAAAGCCAAGGGAGTTTCTTTATTAACCAATGAAAGTAACACATAGACAGATGATCCTCCTACATCAGGCAGGTACTATCCAAGGTGTGACAAAAACTCAGTAATCAAGACAACCTTGTTTTAGTGCAATAAATTGAAAACTCTATATAATGACCAAAAAATATGATAGAAATAAATCAAGATTTTTCATTTGCTTGCTTTTTTGAGACAGGGTTTCTCTGTGTAGCTCTGTTGTTCTGGAACTCACTCTGTAGACCAGGCTGGCCTCAAACTCACAGAGATCCACCTGCCTCTGTCTCCCTGAGTGCTGGGGTTAAAGGTCTGAGTCACCACTGTCTGGCTAAATCAAGATTTTAAATGAAACTAGCCTCTGACCACACTGCGCAGATATTTCATGAATCTCCACATACCCACGGGGCCCTGAAGTCAGGCCGGCTTCTCTACTCTCCTGTCCTTAACCCGAGTCAACATCTCAGGTCTAGTTTTGTTGCCTAACCTTGATGTGAATCATTCTTACCTTCTGGTGGAGTTATTAGGAGATTCAGATCAGCTGAAAAACATATTAGAAATATGCAGGAAGACCCCCTGCAGACACATTGTAAGTGTTTGTGTAAAGTCTGGATGGCAGACAACATGATTTCATGCCATTGCAGTGATGTGCCAGGAGAATCCTGTCAGCAGAAATCACATTTAAGGATTGCTGCTGATACCCCCCACTTCTCGCTCTTAAAAAATGATTTATGTTTATTTTTAACTGTGTGTGTACAAGTATCTGAAAGTGGGTATGTGCACCTGTGTGCACTTGTCAACAGAAACCAGGAGAGGGCGTCAGATCCATGGAGCTGGAGCTATAAGAGATTTTGAGTCCCCAATGTGGGGAACCAATCTCTGGTCTTCTGTAAGAGTAGCTGGAGCCCTTGACATCTAAAGCATCTATCTGCCCCCTTCCACTCCTATATAGACTTTCTTTATTTGTTGTGTAAGGCAGACTCTCCTGTATCCCATGTTGGCTGACAATTGCTATGTAGTCAGAGATGACCTTGAACGTTTGATCCTTTTGACCCCAGCTTCTAAGCACTAGGATTATAGGCATGCATGTGCCCTGTGGGGCCTAATTTCTTAAGTTTACTTGTCAGATGAAAATGAGCAGAGGAACCTGGAAATAGTTACAGGATCCTTCCTTTCTTCTTTCTGCTTTGTTGTTGGATATAAAACTTGTGGTTTGTAAGAGACAGAGCGATACTACAAAAACCTACAGCTCATTTCAAACTCCTCTGTGACGCACTGGTAACCCTCGGTCTCCCCTATGCTTAAGTCATCTCCTGTATGTTCAGTGCTGTGTGTGTGTGTGTGTGTGTGTGTGTGTGTGTGTGTGTGTGTTTCCTGTTGCTACTCAGTGCCTGAGTTTGACCCCTTTTCATTTCCAGTCACCTTGGGGAGAGCCGCCTAGGTCCTCTCCACCTGAGATGTGCACCAAATACCCTGTCATTCTGCAGTGATGGAATGGTCTCTATCACTCACCGAGCGGCCTGTTCTAGAGCCCTGGTTGCTTCCGGGTTTTACTTAAATTTCTACTGGATTTGCTTTCCAGACCATGGTTTTAAATGTAGCAGTTGCTTTCCTGGCACACTGTAAATCCCTTGTAGAATCTTTCTCTAGGTAGCTGAAGTGGGGAGCAACCAGGGTTGGGTGGGCCTTGCTTATCTCCTGGTGATGTCCAAGGGGATCAGCAAACTGCCTTTATACACAATAGGAAAAGGTTTTTGTTTGTTTTGCTTTTCTTTTAGTAAACAAAAAGATTGCTTACGTGTAAAGTGGATAGGCAAATACTGGCTTTGACTGACATGTGGAATGTTACTGCTCTCACCCCAGGCCAAGAAATGGTTGATGCCGTGTGGAAGGTGGTTGTTTCATCGATCCTGTTTATGGTCAGCCCTGGGGATGGACTGTTTCGCTCCTTATACCGAGGTGCTCATGTTTCCAAGCCATTCAAGGGAAATGCAGGCCAGCCTCTATTTCTTAGCCCTTATATCAAAGCTGGGAAGATCAAGGAGGGTAAGTCCGACAAATGCTCGATGGTATTTTAAAAGTAACTATCCGCCAAGATGCAAAACACTTGTCAGTGTTCTTTTTCAGTGGCTTTATTTCAAATACTGAAGACTGGTTGCCGTGCCTCATCTGAGGTTTGAGCTAGAATGGGATGATGGGGAAGGAATATGGATGCGGTTGAGCTGCAGCGTTTCTCTTTACAAAACCAATGGGTGGCTCCCAGGGGTGCAGCAAGGACAAAGCCAGTGCAAGCCTTGCAGCTTGGATGCGTGAGTGTTGGCATTCGTGCTGGTCAACAAAGCAAGGTGTGTCCAATTAGGGAGGCTGAAGGAGGAGCTCCATGGCCCTGCCAGAATCCACACAGATGCCAGCTGGTAGGCGTGGGCTCCACACTTGCAGGGCTTCCCTCCAGCCACTTTGCTGTGCCTCTCACCTGGCAAGTTATCCACAGCCCAGGCCTCAGTTTCCTCGTTTGGAAGATGCAGATTTAACTAGCATCTTGCATAACTTGGAAGGATGCCAGGGAAATCTAATGTGAAATAAAACTTAGAAAATTGCCCATACCCTGTAAATTTCTTTCCAAATCTTAGCATTTGCAGAGGCATCATTAAGAGACTATCAGGAGGCTAGTATCTGTTACTTAATAGGAAGAAGTCACATTTGGTGTCACTAGACTAAAGTATATGATTGTGTGTGCTCTTACGGCATCTTGGTGCTTAGGTAAAAGTCACCATGGCCACAAAGAACCTCATCTGGGGGAACTCAGTTGACCCTGAAGCTACAAATAGTATCCAGGCTCTGGCTTTAAGGAATTGTTTATACAAAGGCGCAGGGGACTGGGCTGGTGGCCAGAAGGAGTCGAGGAAGGGTCACAAGCAAAGAGGAGACAGACAAAAATGAGTGTTTGCTAAAGGAAGGGATGGGTGAGGTGTGATCTGAGGAGCTGCCAAAGGGGACGGAGTGGGAGAGAAAGGAAAGAGGGACTTGCAGGAGGGTTAGGGTTAGATGGGACTGAGGGTGGATGAGAGCAAAACTTTCAGGTCTCAGCAGGGCAAAAGTAAGTCTAAACACTCTACAAGGAAGTCTAAAATAAAGCAGTTTCCTCATTGGATGTGTCCTCACAACCAACGGGTTGCTACCATTTTTGTTTCCTTTTGTATCAAGGGGGTTGAATCCCACCTTCATGGCTTCTCCATGAAATCTGAGTTGGCTCTAGGTTTTCTCTTTGCTACAGGAAGGTGAAAGGGCCTTCACTGTGTAATCAGGACACATAAAAAAAGGATTCGGTTTCACTTTCTGCAGTCAAATTCACAGAAAGACGGCTGCCTAGCCACATGGGCTGATTCTAAAAGTTGTATCCGAGTAGGAAACAGGTCAGCAGCCCAAAGCCACAGCACAGCACGAAGCTCAGCTTCCTTAGGACTTCAGACGGATGTGCAGATTTATCTCATTGGCAAGAAGTCAGGGAAAACCATTTGATGCTGAGCTGGAAAGGGGATGAGGTCATTATAACCAGCTTCTACCCAGCAGCATGCAAGGATGGAGATGTGAGCATCTGGATTTGCCAAGGGAAAGCTGGGAAGATGGGGGGAGCAGAGAAGCCTGTGGGGCTCAGATCTTCTGGCTTCTGCTTGTGCTTCGCCTGCAGAAGTTTATTCTTCTTTGCTTGAGAAGCATGTTGTCCTCTGAAATCAATGTACCAATGCATGGGAACCAGCTAAGGAATGCAGTGAAGTATTACATCCAAGCCAAGTATGCTCAAAAGTGAAAGAAGGAACGCCATTGATATAATCAAGATAGAAAATAGTAGTAGTAGTAGTAAAAATAATTAATATTGAATTATAAAGTATATATTGTATAATAAATGAGTAAAAAATAAAAAATAAATAATGATTAATAATATTATTATTCCCTAATATCTAGCATAAGACTTTTATGCAGTAGGCACTTAATTAAATACTTATGCAATTTACATTTGAGTCTTGACTAGGCCAGAAACCACATTTTCCATATATTAGCTCATAAAGAACAACCCTCATAAAGAACATAATTATTGTTCCCATTACATAGATGAAAAAACTGATGCTCTAGGAAGATAAGTATCTTGCCCAGAGCTATAAAACCAGTAAGTAGCAGATCTAGGATCATAACCTTTGCCTACCAACCACACTATGAACCACTGTGCCATGTGACCATCTCCTGACTTGAGGCTGTGGGTAAGATATGGGCGACCCAAGAAGGGTCTTTGTGCGCAGGAATTAGGAGATAGCTAAGCAAATACATTAGGTGAAGAAGCCTTCGCATGTCTGTGCCCTATGTGGCAGAACTGAGAGAAAAGAACACTGCGGAATACACCCGAGCAATGGGCCATCCCCATCCCTCCCTTGCAGCATCTCTGGCCTAGGAGCATCCCCTGGTTATGGACATACCCAGTAAGGAAGAAAGCTTTTTGGGTGCAAGCCCAGCAGATCTCCATGCTATGAATCTGAGACACTTCCATCATCAGAGTTGTGTGTCACACTCGGAATCGCAGAGTGGGGTTTGAATGGTGGATCCAAAAGCCGGCACATCTGGGGACTCAGATGCTGCCCCACAACATAATTAAGGATAATTTTATTCATCCGCTTTGCTGAAAGTTCAGGGAGCTGTGGACAGATGGTCAGCTCCCTCTTCAAATCCCCGTTGTCAGTGGAGTCTGTCAAAGCGGCAGGAATGGGAGTCTTAACATCGCAACAGAACGTTTTTCAGATAAACAGTAGTTCACAAAAAGACAAGGGGAATTTTTGTTTTTTTTAAATTCCTAATTAACTAGCTTAATTTTATGTAATTGTAATTGCATGTTTGCTTTCTCCGAGGCTAAAATAAATCCTTACATTCTGGAATAAAATGCAGAAGGCAAATTTTAACATCTTTACAAACACTATATTTTCACAAATTCCAAAGGATATTTGTTGTTGGGGGTCCTAATTTGTTGTCTGTGAACTGAAAGTGTCTACACTGGTGATGGCTGGGGTATTTGTGAATCTAAGTGTGTACCCCAGTTGGCTGGTTCAACCCCTCACTGGCCACACTCCAATAATTCTCAGAGTATTAATGTCACAAACGCTGAGAACAGCAGTAAACAGCAAAGACAGGAGTAAGATGACTTCAAAGAGAACCTTTTCCTGCTTTAACTGCTTTTTAAACATTTGTATTTGTGTGTCACAGCACCAGAAAGATTAAAAAAACTACACGTGGGAGCCTGTTTTTCATACTGCATTAACAGCTGACTCTGGGCTAGGGGTGAAACGCACATCCAAACATTCTTAACAAGGCGAGGGACTTTTGATTATCTTACTGTGATTTAGTGAATAGAAATTTAAAATATGAAACGGGACAAAAACACTCTTTCATCAGTAGAAAGGGGTCTTTAAAGAGGAAAGGGGTCTTCAAAATTGGTTAAGGTATCGACAAGGTCTGTTTTCCAAAGGGATTTGGAGAAATATGCTAATCCCAACACAGCGTCAGCGGCGGCCCATTCATTTATTCATTCATCTGCCCTTCATTATCATTCATTCATTCATTAAAAAAGTATTTATGAAGTGTCTTATGTATGTGGACTATCACGCTAAGTCCCAGGGGTTCAGAGATTAAGTATGACAGATTCCCTGCCTCCCTACAGCTGCTGTAGGAGGAGAAAGGGACAGGACAAGCCTAAGTACTTGTCAGTGGAGACACAGCCTGGGCATTCGGAAGACGGAGGGGCAAGTGAGCAGCCAGATTCATCGGAGCTAGCCTGCAGCCCCTGGGCGCACTGCTCTCGGAGACAAATTAATGCAATCATCTCTCGCCCATATCTTGTTCCCACCAGCTCCTTTCTATTATTTACTTTCTCTTTTTCTCGTTGTACTTTGACCTCTCTCATTTTTCTCTGTCTCCCCTCTCAAATCCCGTCCTACCCATTACCTCTCTCTGGATTCTACCTCAGCCACTCCAGCCTTCAGCTTTTACTTTTTGGTCATTCTTTTCTTTCTTTTTCTTAAAATCCTTTTCCTTTCCTTTTTTTTTGTCATTTTTGTGGGTGGAGGTGTTAGTCCATTTTCTTTCTGTAACTGGTTCACACAGACCAAGCAGTTTATAAACACTGAAGGTTTACTTAGCTTGCCATTCTGGAGGCTGCAAAGCCCAAGAGAGCTGAATCTGGTGAGGTCACTTGGGGCATGGGCACTTCATAGAGCCCTGAAGCAGCACAGGCCGTCATGTGAAACTAAAGGCGCTGGCTTACAGTTCTTCTCCTCTTACACGGCCACAGCCTTATAGCATCAGGGCCCCACCCTGGAAGTTGCCTTTCTATTCATCACCCACAAAGCCCAACTCTCAAATACTGAATTCTTGCTCTTCTGATATCTCAAAGAGAATGTTCAATACCCAACATGAGTTTTGGTGGGGTCATTCAGACCCAAGGGGAACAAGTGTCCCTGACAAGAGGGTGGGCAGAACTATGGGGCTTGGATTAAGTGACCCCACCAGGGAGAAGTTGGGAGAGCCAGGTAGAAAAGGCAAAGCTCCCAGGCTTTCTTTGGGGGGGGGGTAACTTCTCAGGGGCTAAGGAGACCCCAAACCCTATGGACAAGAATCTCGGTTTATGTCAGGTTCCTTCCCAGGTACATTCTTAAGCACTTTTTGTTGTTCTTCATGGCAAGTCTGTAGCAGGGCAATCTGTGCCCACATTTGGCACAGAAGGAAAGAGTCTCAGAGATGAAGTGATTTAATGAAGGATTGAATTAGGGCTATAAATCAGGTCTGTCTGACCAAAAGGCCCAACTTTCTGCCATGCTAGCCCAGCTGACCCCTCAGTCCACTCCTCACTGAGACCTGTCCTTTGCTCCACCTCCGTCTCTTCCCCTAGCTGCTGCTTCTCTCAGTCACCACTGGCACTTTCTGGGCAACAGGGCCTATGTGCCGTGCAAGCCAGCTTTTTTCCCCCTATCCCCCTTTTCCTGTATGTATGTACTCATGTACATGCATTCATATGTGCATATATGTGCCTTAGCGTGGAGGTCAGGGGACAGTGTTGGGCATCATCCTTAGTAATGTTATCCACATCCTTTGGGACAGTCTCTCATTAGCCTGGAAGACACTAATTTGGCTAGAGCAGCAGCCAGTGAGCCCCAGGGCTCTTCCTGTCTCAGCTTCCTCAGCACAGAGATTGTAAATTGACTCTTTCAGTAGGTCCTCGAGGTTCAATCCAGGTCCTCATGCTTGCAAGGCAAACCATTGGCTGATGGGGTGACCTCCCAAGCCCCCAGCCGCCTTCTTTTGACAGGCTTGAACACAATGACTCTGGGTTCCTGTGGACCCCTAATGGGTGCCCCTGTCCTGGTTGAGAATCTACACACAGGGGACGCTGGCTGCTGCCACCCAGAGTCACAAGGCTGGTTAGGCGGTTGTGCTAGGAAGCATAAAGAAGAGGACAGGGAAGTGTGTTCCAGAAGAGCACCCCCTTGGAAAGGCGTGCCCACTTCTAAGAAAGGAGCTCATAGTCTCAAAGCTAAGACTTACAAGGCTATATGACAAAGGAGAAGCAAAGGAGGGGAGGCAGCATGCCCAACGCCTCCCAGCATTAAAGAGGAACTGAGACACACACACCCCAGAAGCTGCAGCCAGGCAGCAAGACTGTTCCTTCCTGCCTGCTATAGGTAGCTTCACTGAGTCGGGGGTTTGTGGGATAAAGGCCCTGGGCTTTACATCACTTCCTTTGTGATTGAATACTCTTTCTTACAATGGTAGATTTCTCTTTTCTGTCAGTGATATGGTTGTGTGCTGGGCTGTGGAGAGATGCCCACCTCAGTGGGTATCATTAGTTGATGGCATGTTGACTCCCTAAGCATTCTCCAGTTTAATATATCTCAGACTGAAATGCCGTCCTGGACTGAGTCTGTACTGAAGACGTTTCTCTTCCTCTTGCTCCTGTGGACCCCAACACCCATTTTCTGTTTTCTTTCCACCCTGTTTCTTGTAGCTCCTTCTCTTCCACTCCTTGTCTCCTGTGCCCGGAACTCAGTGCAGTCACCTTTGGGAGGCAGGATGGAGGATTGCAGTCCGGCTGTGGCTACCAGGGTGTGTGTACCTCAGCTTCTCTTTGATGCTAGGAGGCCTTGGGCAAGTTACCTGCCTTTTCTATGCCTCTTTCTTGTCATAACCTTGCAAGTCTTGGCTTCCATCGGCATCATCTCGTTCTAAGGCCCCCAAGGCTGGCTGAGGATGTCCTCTTTTTCCTTTTCTGTAGCTGTGGGCATCAGAAGTCCAGGGTCTCCGCCTTGCACAATTGTCCCTGTTCTACTTGGCCCCTGTGTAGCCATGAGGTCACCCTAGGTTCAGCTCCTATCTGTAGCCACTCTGAGCCCCTCAGGTCTGATCCTTAAGAGACCAGCAGACTTTGTGCCCCTAACAACAAGAAGGTGGGGCCAGAGGCTTAGTTTGCTTTCCTGTACCCTTTCTCCTGCCCATTCAATGGGTACAGTGGAAACACCTGAGGGACTCAAGCAATAGAGATGATGGGTGATTTCCTTCTCTTAGGAAAAACAAAACAAAACAAAACAAAACAAAGAACAGCTACAAAGACTTGGATCCTGGCCCCCTTTAGATCCCAGCCCTCTTTGCAGCTTCTCTTGACCTCACCGTGAATAGGGACTCTAGGGGACCAGTTGGAGGAAGCTGGAATTTGCCATTGAGAGGAATCCTCATGAGGCCTCCGCTCAACTTCTTAACCTGGCCTGGCGGTCGGCCCAGGTCTCCCCAGCCTGAGCAGGCTCATGGAGCGTGGTCTCTAACCTTTGGGTGTGTTTTCTTTCTCTTCACCAGGGCAAAAGAAGAGCACGGTCAGTCCTTTCCCTGGAATGAGCCTGAAGAGTTACTCCGGCTACCTCACGGTGAATAAGACTTACAACAGCAACCTCTTCTTCTGGTTCTTTCCGGCTCAGGTAGGTAGCCAAGCCCTGTAGTGGAGAGCTGAGGGGAGCTCACTCCAGAACTAATGGAAATAGTAGCTTCTGGGATAGAGCCATGGGTTTTCCTGTATGTGTGTGTGTGTGTGTACATGTATGTACGTGTGTGCATGTATGTACATGGAGGTAGGAGATCAATGTGTCTTCCTGATTTGTTCTTCACCCTATTGTTCAGGGTCTCCCACTAAACCTGAAGCTCACTGATCTGAAATGCTGCCATTACAAACCTATGCTACCAAACCCATTTTTATATGTGGGCGCCATATATATATATATATATATATATATATATATATATATAT